TAGTCAGTGAGCTGGACGATGACTAAGGATGATAGAAGGAGAATTGATGCCTTTGAGCTGTGGTGATGGAGAAGAGCATTGAATATACCATGGACTGCTGAGAAAACGAACAGGTTCATATTAGAGAGGGTTAAACCAGGCTGCTCCTTGGAGGCAAGTATTTTGAAGCTTCATCTGACATACTTTGGACATATTGCAAGGAGGGACCAATTCTGAGAAGGATGTCATGCTTGGGAGGGTAGAGGGATAGTGCGGGAGAGGAAGACCCTCTGTGAGGTGGATTGATTCAGTGACTAGGGTAATTGGGGTAAGTGTGTTGAAGACTGTGAAATTGGCACAGGGCAGAGCAGGGTTTTAGGCTGTTATACAAAGGGTCGCTATGAGTTGCAAGTGACTCGACGGCACATAACAATAAGGTCTTCATATATGTGGGCACTTTATCTCTCTGATGAAGTCCTTGCAAGACTTTTCTTTGACAGTTTCTTTTTCCTCTCTACTTACTCCCTCCTCCAAAGAAATGTTAAAGTAAAGCATCTCACCGAGAAGATGTCCTAGTAAAATAAGGCTCAAGAAGCATTATTGAATCTGTGGTCATGGGCTCACATAATAACTGGCCCATCAGATTGCCACAATCAATATCAAAATAATCTTCAAAAGACCATTTGAGGTATTATTATGATGAAAAAATCTGTAAAAAAAGACCTCTTTAAAGTGTTAAAAGCAAAAATGTCACTTAGAGAACTAGGTATACCTGGCCCAAGCCATGGTATTTTTAAATCGCCTCATATGTAGGCAAAAACTTGACAATGAAGATAATTTAATGCCCTTGAATTATGATAGTGGTGAAGAATATTGACTATACCAAAGTACCTACCAGATGTAAGAACTAATGAAACCTAGAAGAACAGGCAAAATGCTTCTTAGAGGCAATTTCTTCATTTATCTCAATGCTGATACCCCATGTCTCCTTCAGACTCCTCTTAATGACTCTTACTCTTCTATTCTCAGGAGGTACTAGGCCCAGGGAAAGGACTTCATGCTTGATACAGCAGAAGGTTTGCATAAAAGAGGAAGACTATCACCTTGGTGTATGAGCACAGTGGCTGCAAAAGTAGGCTCCAACACAACAGTGGTTGTGAGGATGATATAGGACGTCCTGTTGTTCAGAGGGCTGCTAGGAGCTGAACTGACTCAAAGACACACAGTCTGTACACTACCCTACAACTTGTCTATTGGTATAGCCTCTGTAAATGAACTCTTAGGAACTGAAATGAATAAAGGTGGTTCTCAGGAAATTCCTCTGAGGTTCTTAGAAAAAGTTGGGGGTTTGTTACATTTTTAGGACAGGAATGTTTTTAAATTCACTGTTGCAAATATCCTATGCTGGCTTTAGTTGAAACAAAGAAACTATTTTGAATTAAAGATGGCCACATATTATTAAAAAAAAAATAACCCACAACTTGAAAAAAAAAAAAAGAAGCATTATTGAAGAAGGAAGTGATGGGTAGTATTGAGCCTGCAATTTATACAGTGGTTGTTATGTAAAGCACTAGAACTTCTAGGCATAGTGTGCAAACAGGCCGTTTTATCAAGTATGTTTTCTGTGGCTTCTACATCTCGATCCACCTGACTTCCCGCATACAAAAAAGAACAAGACGCTTAGCAGCTTACAGTTAGAAGGAAACTCGGAGGCCCCTTTCTCAAAGATCTCAAATACCAATAAACAGTACGTGAGATGGTCTCTCATTCCAGCAGCAGTGGCAAAGTTTAACTAATAAATGTTGGAGAGGATGTGGTGAGAAAGCAATCTTTCATACTATTTGTGGGACTGTAAAATGGTACCACCATTCTGGAAGGCAGGTTGGCATTTCCTCAGAAAGCTGGACATGGAAATTTCCTATGACCCAGCTATTCCACTGCTTGGAATATACTCCGAGAAAACGAGAACTGAGGCACAAACAGAGACTTGTATACCAATGTTCATAGCAGCATTATTCACTATCGCAAGAACATGGAAACATCTTAAATGTCCAACCATAATCTAATGGATTCAGAAATTATGTTATGATAGAATACTCAGCAGCACGCAGGAGCAATGATTTTGTAAATTATTACCTAACTTGGGAGGGACTAGAGAGCGTTATGCTACGTGAACTCAGTCCCATAAGGACAAATATTGTTTAAGACCATTATTGTAGAAATAGATAACTAGTAAAACGTGTATGATAATCTAAGGGGTGGGGACCAGGTGAGGATACGTTGGAGGTGTAATCTCAGGGTCGCACAATTTAATGGGTAGAGGGAAGGTTAAGGAAATGGGAGAAATCCAGTGTGGAAAAAAAATGCGTAAGACATTTATAAGTAAACCAGTATAAAATTAAAAGTTTATATTTAAAAAAAAAAAAAAGAAGAAGAAATCTGCTTTGGAAGTATTGCAGCCACAGTACTTACTCCTCAGACAATTCTGGTAAGACTTTGTTTCCTAAGCTTTTGGGTTCTTTGTTGGAGGGAGCCAGTTCTTGAAGGAGGCCATCATGCTTGGGGAAAAGTGGAGGGCCAATGAAAGAAAGAAACTCATTAAAAAAAATATAATTGACTCTATGGGAGTGGTTTATTTTCTAACTAGGTGAAAGAACAAGTTTAGACGCTGCTATAATTACATATTTGTCTATTTTAAGCTTACATCATTTGTATATATTGTTGTTGTTAGGTGTCATCAAGTTAACTGTGACTTACAGTGACCTTATAAACAATGGATCTGAATCTTTTTTTTATGGTACTATTTATTGAGGTTTAATTTACATACAACAAAAATTACCTGTTGCCACTATTCAGTTGAAAACCATTTCTGACTTCCCAAATAGCCTCAACAAACATCATTTGGTTCAAAAAGCACACTATGTAAGGATACAATATAAAAACTGGCTTCCCTTACACCTCACTGACCTATATATAGTCACCTTCCCTTGTCAATCTTCTATACTTGTGTGTACCCTTTCCTACCCTTAATTCAACAGTGTTCATTATGTATTTCCCCACACCATTCTGGGTGAAAAACCTCCACCATATTTCCTCTATCTAAACTTTTCTGTAGTGTTTCTGCGTACAACAGCACTTAGTTCATTTGTGACTTGCTTCACTATGTCCTGTAGACTCATCCAGGTAGTGTAGTGTTTCCTAAAAGCCAGTTGAATCAAGCCTTTGAAGTATGGCAACTTTCTATGAAGTTCACAAAATATTTCCCAGTGTGTAGGATCCCCCACCCTTTATGGAGATATTTTATGTATATAAGGATTTCTTTTCTAGAAGGTTCAATCATTTTATCTTCTGTTGGTTGCACATTATGGCTGTGTGAGAGCTTATCCATACTGTAGGCTGTTGGGTATTCTGTTGAGTTGGAACAAGCATCTGGCCGTTCAGGGGCTTTTCAGAGGCAGAAAAATCACACTGCCTAGATTTCTCCTATGGAGCAATTGGTGTTTAAGAACCGAGAGCCCAATTTGGCAACACAACTCCTTAGCATTTAAGCCACCAAACCTCCCTATGCTATAGATTAGGGCTCCTAAATTTATATCTATTTTTCCCTAATGGTCTTCAGTTCAGTGGTTCTGATCCTTTTTTACAATGTTTATTTCTATAAATGGGGTTGAAGACTGGTTTTACCATATAATAGGTTTTGGTATGTGGTTTTGGTATGTGGTTTTCATTCTCATGTTTCATTTCACTTAACTCCACATCAGTATATTTCTTTTGGCTTTCTGTCAGAGTCACTGGATGGGCAATCTGGTCTGCTTTTCTACAAGAAGGCTTGTTTTGTCCTTTCATAATGTTTGAACTTGACTGCAGCTCCCTCAGCATTGTAGAAGGCTCTTCTTGGTGTGTGCTGGTTGTACTCTTTCCATATGGTAGTAATAATTTTGCTTACTGTGTTTTATTTGAGGTTTCTAAACTATCCTTCAGCTTTTGTAATTTCCAAGCTACATATTGTTGGAGATACTCCACACCGTCAAATAACTTCTGGATTCCTGACTCTGGGATAATCAGAGGGGTAAACTGCTGGTCTGCTTCATTCAGAGTATGTTGAGGTTTGTTTTTTTTTTTCATGTTTGAGCCTGACAGCTCCTTCTTTGCCATTATGTGAGGTTCTTCTTAGTTCCCCAATTTCAGGATTCTAGTATTATCGTCTGTAGCTGGCTTTCCTGGTGTTCTTGCAGTAGACAACTGTTTTTTCAGTCCTACTAGTTCACTATCCAAAAAATTCTTCTATATAGCTTTACTTGAGAAAGAATGTCTTCCAAGCAGCAAGGTCTGAAGTTCACCAGCAACTTGAGTTCACCACAGAACCAAAAATATTCAAGGCAAATTCATTCCATGCAGTTCACTCCTGAAGTATCCAAGTATCAGCACCGTGAACTCAACCCTCAACCGAGTGCAGAGGCACCTCACGAAAGCGGAATCTTTTTTTTTAAATTAAATTTTATTAACTTTAATGAACATTTACAGAGATTTTGCGTTTCCATTCATTCATTGTTGCACTACTTTCTCTAGGATGTGAATCTTGACCTATCTGTCCTGTGCCACCCTCTTCATCTTTGATATACTTGTGACCAATGATACAGTCACTGTGTCAATTTAGTTGTGGGACTTCTTTCTTTTGCTGATTCTTCACTTTTCCAAGCATGAGAGAGTACGGGGACCGGACTCTCGTGGCGACATGTCCAAAGTATGAGAAAGGAAAAAAAAAGTGGTATGAAGCAGTTTTGGAGGGGGAAAAAAAAGCATCACGTGTCACACAGTAGCCTTTCTACACCAGTGCGCATGGGTGGCCTTGCCAATAGTAAACATGGCAATTCGGCTCCTGCTTTCTTTCAAGTTAACCTAATAATGCCAATAGTTAATATGGCCTCCAGCCCGTGAGCTCTCATTGGCGAGATCTCTGAGGCCCCGCTGCGATCACGGGGCCGAAAAGCGTGGCTCCGGGTCTGCCTGCGCCTGCGCAGATGTTTGGCGCCAAGATGGCGATGGAAATGAGGCTTCCTGTTGCTCGCAAACCTCTTAGCGAGAGCCTTGGCCGCGAACCTAAAAAACACTTGGTAGTTCCGGGGGACACGATAACTACGGATACGGGCTTCATGCGGTATGTGGAGACTGGAGTGGCTCTGCACACAGAGGCCTCCCGCAGGACTTTGCACGTGGGCTGCTAGTTCGAAACACCGGCGTCTTGGGTCTGAGTCCTTGTAGGACCCCGAGTAACCGGTACCGTCTGGGGAGTCCGGTACCGCCCAGGCCCCTGCAGTCGCGGCGTTTCCAGTACTGGGGCTTCTCGCTCATTGCTTGCGTCGTTTTTGTTCGTGTTTGTTTCACCTCCCTGAAGCCTTGCTCTTTCGATGAAAGCCTTGTCTTTCGGGTCCTCTGCTGCCTTCAGCCTTGATTTTTTTTTTTCCCTTATGAAACGCATTGTTTATTTTCCGTCAACCTTATTTCCACTTTTCAGTTTAAGACCATTCCGTGGTGGTACCCACCCACTCAGTGGCCTGAGCAGTGGGAGCTGCAGACCAGTCTTCAGTTGCAAGTTGAGCACTCCAGTCTTCAGTAGGGAACTGCTGAATCGGTACAGAGGGCACCTGGACGCCTTCGGACCAGTCTGTCACTTCAGGCTGAGTAGCAGTGAATTCAGGAGCAGGGGCGGTCCATTCTCCCTGAAACTCCTCCTTGGTCACAGCCTTTTCGGCAGCAGCCTGTTCTTCCTTTTCAATCTATTCTGGATCTCTGTAGAAATACAGATCAGGCATGACCTCCCACGGTGCTCCCGGGAGATCGTGCCACGCATGCGCAGGACTTCCCGGCCCGCATCCACATCAGACCCACAGAGTGAGCTCCCTTCTTGTTGTTGTTGCACGGGATGGCAATGTCTACATAACGCAGAGGAGAATCTGTGTTATACAGGGCAAAAGTGGGCAAGTTAACATAAGATGCTTCTGTCAGAGGCTGGTGGTCAGCCCTGGGATCAGTAACCACCAGAAGACGAGGCTCCCGGGAAGGCTGCCTGGATCTGGTTAGTGAAGGTTCCAGGAGTGAAGCGCCCGGCAATAGGAGTGGCCCCAGTAGCAGCAGCAAACTTCAGAACAGCTCTCTGGCCTGTATTTCTGGAGGAAATGACACATCAGCTGGATTTTCAATGGCGCGAGCAGCCAAGAGCAGCTTCTCCCAGGTCCTATTCAGGTTTATGATGTAGATGCCATCACTTTTCCTTTTGTAGATGTACTGCTCCATTTGGAAGTCAAGGTTGGTGCCACCCAAATGCGTTCCTGCTGCAAGGAATTTGAGGACATCCTCCTTCATCTGCAGGACATCAAGGGCACCGGACATTGTGGAAGTTTCCCTTTTAAGTTACAACGGGAACCAGAACAACGCCGTATGGACCCTTGTTCGGGTAGCGCGGAAAGCCAGCCTTGTTTTTTTTGAACCTTCCTTTTTTGAGACTTGAGTAACTGAAGCAGAGTCCATAACGGGACCCTTTCTAGCTTTTAGATGGACTGTGGGCATTTCTGATTTGGCCGCTTTCTCCCTTAGCACCCTTCGTCTTGGGGCCGGGTTTCAGAGTCAGTTCTTTGGGGTCTTTTTGAGTGCCGGGTGCCATTGAGTCGACCTCGACTCCTGGTGAGCCTGTAGACAACAGTACAAATCACTGCCCGATCTTGCTTGTCTTCGCTGTTCTTTGCTGTGCTTAATTAAGCCCACGTTGCAGTCACTGTGTCAGTTCGTTTCATTGAGGGATCTCCTCACTTTGCTCTTCTCTACGTTTCCAAGCATAATACCTTTTCCAAAAAAGTGATCCCACTAATGATGAGTCCAAACTGTGTGAGACCTAACTTAATACTTCTTCCAAAACAGACTTGTTTGTTCTTTGGGCAATCCAAATTAGTCAATATTTTTCCCAGCTCTACAGTTCAAAAGCATAATTTTTCTCTTCAGTCTTCCTCACTCATTGTCCTACTTTCACATGTGTTGTCAGTTGTTAGGTGCTGTCAGGTATGTGAAGCATTTGAAAATACCATCGCTTTTAACTGACGTCCTTACATCCCTTTTTGTCCTTGACAACAGATAGGCCCATGCAGTATATAGTTGAGTTTCTTGATTGCTGCTTGCATGTGTCTTGATTGTGGATCCAGGTAAGATGATAGCCTCAATTTTTTCTCCCATTGTTTATGTTGATGTTCCGTATTGGTCCAGTTTTGATGATTTTTGTTTTCTTAATGCTGAGCTATAATTCATACTGAAGGCTATGTCATCTTTGATCTTCAGGAAATGCTTTAACTTCTCTTCACTTTCCACAAGGCTGTGCCTTTTGTAGTTTATTGATGAGCCTTTCTCTAATCCTGATGCAGTCTTCTTCATATAGTCCCCTTTCAGAGATTATTTGCTCAGCACAGCTTGAATAGGTATGATGAAAGGATACAACCCTAAAACATACCTTTCCTGCCTTTCAGCAGTTATTCAGATTGCTCAAACAGTTGCTTCTTGGTCCGTACATAGTCTTCACATGAGCAGAATTAAAATTCCCATTGTTTTCAATATTATACATAATTTATTTTTTTTTTTAATTTTTATTATTTTGTGTGTGTGTACCGTCAAATCAGATCTGACTGGTACAGGAGGAGATTGCCTCTCCGTATACCTCTGGGATTGTAGTGCAGCTTTTGCCACTAGGCCACCAGAGCTCCCCAATATTATCCATAATTTACTATGATCACACAAATATATACTTTGTTGTTGTTGATTGCGTTTGAGTCGAGTATGACTCATAGCAACCCTATGAACAAAAGGCCCGAAGCCCCTCTATAACTATCGCCATTTATCAAAGTTCATAGTTTCCAGAGGTAAGTTGTTTAGGAAGTGGATACCACTCCTGCTTCCAAACCTGTCATAGAATGCTATTGGTTGAGTCATCTGTGATGCATGTTACGTAGTTAATAAAATACAAGTAAACATCTTTCTGGTATTCTCTGCTTTTAGCCAAGATTCACTTGACAACAGTGATAATGCTTTTGCCAAGGCCTCTCTTGAATCCAACTTGAATTTCTGGCAGTTTCCTGTGGATGTACTGTGCATTGCTCCATCCTCCATTCCAGCCATTTAAAAATAATCTTCAGCAAGATTTTACTTGTCTGTGGTTTTGTTTTGTTTTTTTAAATTTTATTTTTTTTTTTAGCGTGTGTACCAGCAAATCGGATCTGACTGGTACAGGAGGAGATTGTCTCTCCTTCTCCAGCAGAGCATCTGGTGGATTCAGACCGCTTACCTCTGAGATTGCAGTGCAGTTTCTTGCCCCTAGGCCACCAGAGCTTGCCAGTTGTCTGTGGTTTTAATGATATTATTCAATAATTTCTATATTATGTTGGATCAACTTTTTTGGAATGAGCACAAATATGAATATCTTAGAAGTAGAAAAGTGAGCCTGTCCAGGACTGCGTCTGTTTACTTTTTAAGTACTTGAGTTGATATCCCATCAATTCCTGGATCCTTGATTTTTGCTACTGTTTTCAGTGCAGCTTTGACTTCTTTCTATATTTGGTTATTGATCATACGGTACTTCCTAAAATGGTTCAGTACCAACTAAATGTTTTTGGTGCAAAGACTTTGTATTCTTTCCACCTTCTTTTGATCCTTCTTGCATCATTAAGTATTTTCCCATAGAGTTCTTCAGTATTGCAGTTTGAGCCTTGAATTTGTTTTTTGGGTCTTTCAGTTTGGGAAATGCTAATTGCATGCTTCCATTTTAGTCTCCTAACTTCTGATCTTTGTGCATTTTGATCTTTTGTTTTGTCTTCTTGAGCTGCTCTTGGGAAATCTGTTCAGCTCTCTCTCTTCATAATTTCTTTCTTTTACATTAACTTATCTACATTATATTTCAGTCTTCTGACATCTATTTTGGTCTTTTCTTTGCTGAACTTTGAACTTGTGCTTTCTTCATGTATGATGTCCTTGATGGCTTCCTCCAATTCGTGTCATGTTTGGTCTTTAGTGTACAGTGCATCAAATCTGTTCTATTTTCCAATTTCTACTTGAGATACTTTCCAAATCCAGACTGGATAGACTCAAGTTGTGTCTTTACACTTGTGCCCTTGTTTTGTTTTTCTAAAGCTTCAGCGATTTTTCTTTAACTTATATACAGGCAATTAGACTGTGTTCCACAGTTGACCCCTGGCCTTATTCTGATTGGTAATAAGCTTCTTCACTGCTTCTTTGTTCAGATGTAGTCACTTTGATTCCTGTATATTCCATCAGTCAAGGTCCACATGGATACTTGCCATTTATGTTTTTTATAAATGTATTTTCAATGAGTAAGTTGCTGGTTGTACAGCATTCATGTATATAATCTCACCTCATTTCTGTCACCAAGGCCATCAAATTCCAACTACCAATCCTTTGTTTAAAAGTTTTGCATTCTACTTATCAGTTGTTATTAATGCATCTTGAAGGCATGTTGAGTCGTTGGTGGTTGGTCAGGTACTTACATCATGCAGCATTCGAACTCTCCAACCTTTGAGTGTAAAGGCAGTGAAGTTTGTTGTAGTTGAGAGGGCAGCCTCTTGAGTCAAACAGTCCTGCAATCACTTATTATTCTCTCTGTTACCTCCTGAGAGGTGTTTCCTCCTCTGTGAAATAATAATAATAACAGTAACTGTCTGGTATATGTTCAATGTCTGCAAGTTAGTTCTGTGTCATCATCTCTGTGTTCAAGAGATAAAACCTTTCCTAGTTCTGTGCCATGCTTTCCATCTCTACTGTGCTTAAGCCCATTGTTGTCATAACTGATCAGTGCATTCTTAGTGGGGTGTCTTTGAAATGAGATGATAATGTGAAGAGCAAATAAAAGTTATCACAGTCCCTTCATAGATAAATACTGTTAGTGTCTTAGTGATAGTTCAGCTTTTTTTTTCCCTTTTGCAGGGATTGACACACATGCACACGCACACACAAAGAGTACAGCAGTTACAACATTACTTTTTTGCTCAGTTTCAGATTATTGACGGTGTGCTACTGGTTGAGAGGACCCACTACCTTCAGACCAGCCCAATTCCAGATTATTGTAGTTCACAAAATTTTAGCATTCATTCTTGTACTCAACACCATTTGTGTTGTGTGCGGTTGGGTTATAGCAAGAATCAAAATAAAAGTCTCTGTCCTGGTGGAGTTTAAATTCTAACAAGGAGAGACACAGGATAAATAGTTAAGGACACCAACTAAATTAGGTAGACTCTTGATAATTTTACTGGGGGGGGGAAATCCTGGAAGAGCCAAGCAGGACCATTTAGATGGGGTTGGGAATACGGTGGTGCCAGCAGCAGAATGGATTACTAGTGTAGAGAGGGTAAGTCTGGAGGAAAAGGGTAGTCTTGGAAAAGATGTCTAAGTAGCTCTCTGGTTAAGAAATGTTTTAGGCCTATAGATAGAACAGCCAATACAAAAACTGACTTTAAGGTAAAGGAACCCGTTGGGTTTGAGGAACGTATTGTTCTTGAAGGGAAGGGCTGCCTTAAGTGTTACCTTGGTGTCCTCTTTGTCTCTTACCTTGCTACAGGGGCCATGGAACGTATATGGGAGAGGAGAAGCTCATCGCATCTGTGGCTGGCTCTGTGGAAAGAGTGAACAAGTTGATTTGTGTGAAAGCTTTAAAAACCAGGTGAGGATAAAAGGTGTGTATTCTCTTTCTTACAGCATACAGGTGTCTTCTGTCTCTCATCTCTCATTCTGAAGGTCTGTGATTTTGAACTTGACTGTAGGAAAGATTGTAAGAGCCTCAATGGTATTGTGGTTTAAGCATCAGGCTGCTAACTGAAAGGTTGGAAGTTTAAACCTAGCAGCATCTCAAGGGAGAAAGATGGAGTAGTCTGCTTTGGAAGCTGTAGAGGACTTTCCTGCTCTGTCCTAGGAGATTACTGAGTTGGAATGAGCAGTTTATACGAATAACTATGTAAGTAAGTGTGGAAAGATTTCATCCTGTTACCCAACCTTTGTAAGCCTTGGTAATTTTCTAAAATGAGAATAAAAGTACAACTAACTCTGTAGGATTTTTGTTAGAATTCCAGTGAAATGATGAATTCTTTAATTCATTGAAATACTTAACACAGAGCCTAGTGCCAAGAGGGCTCAGCAAAGTTTAACCCCAGGAAGGAAGCAAGAGGAGTCAGAACAGACCGAAAGTAGGAATAGACACAGGCAGAGAGAGCTGAGATCAGGGGACAGTCTGGCTTGCCTTGTAGGCCACTGTCAGCATTGTGGCTTTCAGTTTGTATTATTTGGGAAGACAGTGAAGAGGTGGGAGCAGAGGAAGAAAATTATCTGACATATTTGAGGAAATTAAAGAGGGACCAAGGCAGACTTAGGGGAGATGAATTCATCTGAAGTGATGGTCACCAGGAATGAAGTAGTAGAAACGAAAATGAGTAATGATTTGATTCTTTGCATGTATTTTGAAAATTGAGCTGGCAAGCTTTGCTGCTGGATTGGTCATGGAACAGAAAGGGGAATCAAGAATGCCTCACCAAGTTTTTGGCTTGAACATCTGGGAAGATGAAATCACCATTTACTGAGATGGAGAGTTTGCTGTGGGTGGAGAGGATGGAATAAAGAGGGTGTTTCTGGCAAACTTGGTTTTGAGCTTGTTATGTTTGAAAATGTGTATTAGTCATCTGCATGGAGATGTTAACGTTGGTGGGCTTGGATGGATTCTAGAAGGAGGAGGGTAGTTATCAGTGGTATGCAATCCATTTGATTGCATGAGCTCACCAAGAGCTGAGTGTGGACTGAGAGAGAAGTGCCCCACCATTGACTCCTACACTGGAGCACTGCCCATCAGTGGAACAGAGGGAGAGACTAACAGCAGACTTGAGATGACTACCAGCGGGTGGAGGAGGCAGCGAGTAGGCCCATGGACAACATTCATGCCTCTTTGGGGGGCATCTTGCCTTAGGATCTCCTTTTTCCTTCTCTGACTAGTGCAGAACTCACAGGAAAATATTCCTTGTATGTAGAGCACACTTAAATTAGATTAGCAGAGATAGCACCTGAGGCTGACCCCTCAAGTTGGCAAACACAAAGGAAGAGGAACAGTTGCAGGTAGACACTAGTTATTGGAAAAAGGAATGTAAGAAGCATGAATGAGGTAAACTGGCTACTGTTAAGAGAGAAATGGAATGCGTAAATATTGACATACTAGGAATTGATGAAATGAGATGGATTATTATGGGACATTTCGAATGAGACAATCATGATCTACTATGCCAGAAATGGAAAAGGGGAGAGGACATTCACATTCATAATTAAAAAGACCATTTTCTGATCCATCTTGAATACAAGAGTATTTCCATGGAGGAGGTTATCATGCTTGGAAGAGTAGAGAGTGCAGGAGAAGACCCCAGATGAGATGGATTGATGCAGTAGCTGGCATAATGAGGATAGGCGAGTCAGAAACAGTGAGATTGGTTCATCTCCTGCAGAGGGTCTCTGTGAGTTTTAGACTCAAAGGCAACAATCTAACAAAGTAGGTTTGTAAACTACTTGTAATGGTTTAAGAATAGGAAACAAAAATTTATACATATAGAAAAATTTGAAGTTCTTCCTAAAAGTAATTCCAAATGGCCTCTTCTAGGTGTGTTTGCTACATGTGCCTAAACAAGGCCCTCGTCCAGTTTATTTGGTTTTTATTCGCATTCATTTAATTGAAATCTCAAGTGGTGCTTGGTCATTGAAGATGCTTGGTTCACTGATGTCCTATTGCTTTATCTTTCAGATACAATGGTGAAGTAGGAGACATTGTAGTGGGAAGGATCACAGAGGTAAAGTTGGTATCAGCTTGCTATTTACAAAATGTAGACAAGCTAGTGACTTCATGGAATATCCAGTTCTCTGTTGTATTTAATGAGGCATATACTCTATGTGGCTGTTGGCTAGCCTTTGGTGTAAACACTTGGCTTGTCATTTTGGGGATTCCCAGTCACCTGGGTTGAGAACACTCACTCCTAGGGTGTATGTCCAGATGTGGAATTTCTTTGTAGGTTCAACAGAAGAGGTGGAAGGTAGAGACCAACTCCAGACTGGATTCAGTCTTGCTTCTCTCGTCCATGAACCTTCCTGGAGGAGAGCTGGTAAGGGTCTCTGGCAAGGTCCTGGTTTTGGATAGCTTGTTAGGTGAACTGCGAGGCTTCTGTGCCACTTGAAACTTTGCTTTGCATTCAGATTTCTTCTATTACTCCTTTTTGTCTGGATGTAAATATAGGCATCTCACCTGACCCCATTTCTTCTAGACTAGGCTGCAGTCATTGGGTGTGGTATCAGGAATGCCAATGGCTAGGATCCCACACCACAAGAGAATTAGGAAGTTAGGTCCTAGTTTCCCTGTTTGAGTGTGTCACCTTTGCAACAGTGAAGATGTACCTTCAAAAGTTGTTTTTTGATTAGTGGGTTTGTTTTAATTGAGTGGTACTTGGTTATTCTAAGCACCAGCAGTGACTAAAATGTAGTCTTTTGTAAAACATCATGGTTCACTTTTCAGTCCAGGATATATTTACAGAGACTCCTTGTGCTAGGTTCTAGGGAACGTGGCAGCTGATTTCTTAAAGCATATATGGACTAACAGAGTAAACAAGATATTCCCTGGCAGTAGAATAAACAGGTGCTGAGTTGTCCAGAGGCTGGATTAATATTAGAGAGAGGAGAACATAGTGTAGATCCTTTAAGGATGGATAGAAGAAAATACATGAACAGAGATACAGCGAAGTAGGACAGTAGCTGGTCTTGCTGAGGTGTGGAAGGTTGTATGGAAAAGTAGGCTGACCTGGTATGGGAGGATTTTGAGTAGCAGATAAGGGCATTTGAATATTATTCAGAGAAAAGATTAAAGAAGAATTGAAAAGTCTATAATCATTACTATGAATTAAATTATTACTGTTTCCTTTGAATGGCATGAGTGGGTTATCTGCTTGTGCCATTGTTCTTAATAATTGAGTTTTAATATTGTGGTTGGCTTCAAAGAGTCAAATGAAACAAGGAGGGGGGAAAGAATCTGGCCTAAGCCTAATTTTTTTTTGGGGGGGGGTCCCTAGTTATTCATTCATTCATTCATTTATTTTGGTCTGTTTCAGAGGAGAAGATCTGCAGAAGATGAGCTTGCCATGAGAGGGTTCCTGCAGGAAGGGGATCTTATCAGTGTATCCTGTACCTTGTATTCTAGCAGTATTGTGCTCTTTTTTTTTTTAAATTTTTTTATTTTATCTATATTTTATTAATTTTCATAAACATTTACAGAGATTTTGGGTTTCCATTCATTCATTGTTGCACTATTCTCTCTACCCTCCTCCCAGTTTGTTCTTGTCCAAATGCCACAGTGCTTGTCAAAGCCAGTTCTGATTAATCTTCTTTGTCAGTGTGTCCTTTGCCATTCCCTATCACTCCTCCCTGAGAGAGACTTCACCCTGAGTCATAAGGAAAAGGGGATGGTGTATTCTCTTAGCTACTTCCTGCTGAAAAGGGACGCTGTGGGTTTCAGGGTGAAGATCTTCTCTCACTACTCTAAAGGGCCCCTTTGGCAGTAGGAAACACATAGACTATTATGGAGATTGATTATGGAATTTAGATGCACTCTTATTGATTGGGCTTGGCCGTACATGTTCATATCCTTGAAGATGTATCATGGGGGTGTTGCAACCTAGAAGACACAAATTTGACTAACAAGTTATAAGTACATGAGTCCAGAAATTATGGAAAAGTAAAAGAAAAGATTCTTTCATTGTTTTACAAACCCTCCCCCAGGTCCCCTCCACCATGTAGCCCTCGCTCTAGTCTCCTGTGATGACAGAAATACCTAGTTATATATCTCTTTTAAACAGTTTTCTCCCTCCTCTGTTTCAGTGCAGTATACATTATTGAACCCATCTTACTCAGTCTCTCCCCAACCCCAAGGACAGTCCCATTCTACAACAGTGGCATCATGTAATATTTGTCCTTTTGTGACTGGGATATTTCACTCCGCATAATGTTCTCCAGAGTCAACCATTTTGAATAATATTGCATGAGTTCCTTGTTTTTTAATGCAGCATAGTATTCCATTGTGCAAATATACCACAGCTTCTCTAGCTATTCGTTTGTTGATGGGCACTTAGGTTGTTTCCAACTCCTTGCTATTGTGAACAAAGCTGCAATAAACATGGGTGTGCATATATCTGCTTGGATGTCAGCTATGGTCTCTTCAGGGTATATTCCCAGTAGTGGAATTGCTGGGTCAAATGGTATCTCTATTTGCAACTTTTTGAGAAAGCGCCATACTGCTTTCTACAGGGGTTGCACCATTTTACACTCCCACCAATAGTGAATCAGGGTTCCAGTTTCTCCACAACCTCGCCAGCATTTGTTGCTTGCTGTTCTGTTAAATTTTGCTATTTTGACTGGGGTGAAATGATATCTCATAGTTGTTTTAATTTGCATCTCTCTTAGGGCTAGGGATTTTGAGCATTTCTTCATGTGTTTGTTAGCCATCTGAATGTCGTCTTCGGTGAAATGCCTGTTCATATCCTGTGCCCATTTTTCTATTGGATTATTTACCTTTATCTTGTTGTGGTGCTCAAGTATTTCATAAATTCTGGATATAAGTCCCTTATCTGATATGTTATTACCGAATACTTTTTCCCAGTCAGTGGCTTCCCTTTTTACCCTACTGGAGAAGTTTTTGGATGTGCATAGGGATTTGAGTCTTAGAAGGTCCCATTCATCTATGTTATCTTCTCCTGGTTGTAGCTTTTCCAGGAGGGAATGGAGTGAAAGTGTCTTTCTCTGAAAAGAAAAAAACCTTTCCTGACAGATGTCTCAGCCCTAGATCAAGTGTCCAGAACTCTGCCAGTCTTCCTGCATCTCTAGCTGAACTTTGGCTCTTGTTTAGACCTGCTAAGTCATTTCTCTGGGTCTTAAAACTTCTGGTGGCTTGTGCTTATACTAAACATTATCTTAATGATGGTTTAATTTGTATCCCAGGGAACAGAAAAGATGTTCTTCATGGCAAGAGATTTATGAAGGGAGGTCGGGTCACAGTACTGTCCTCTGAGTCTTTTAAGCTCTTAAACTGCTCAGTGGGACTGTTGGAGGTGAAATGAGATGTTAAGGCCAGAGATGTTGGCGAGGGAGGTGCTGTGAGAATAGACAGCCGGGGGAGCTCTGGTGGCCTAGTGGCAAGGAGCTGCAGCTACAATCCCAGAGGTGCACGGTTCAAATCCACCAGATGCTTTGCCGGGGAAGGAGGGACAATCTCCTCCTGTACCAGCCAGATCTGATTTGATGGTACACGCACACAAAAATAATAATAAAAAAAAAAAGAATAGCCAGAACATCATCATTTTCCTTCATCACTCTGGCCAGGCTGAGGTCCAGGCAGTGTTCTCTGATGGAGCTGTTTCTCTTCACACGAGAAGTCTAAAATACGGAAAAGTAAGTCTTTGTCTTCCTGATTGTCACCCATGACCTTTTTTTTTTTTAAATATTGGTTTACTTATTTATATACATTGATTTTCACATTAGATCATTCCCATTTCTTTTACCCACCCCTCCCTTGTCACCCACAACTTTTAAGTGCATTTCCGAATCCTCAAAACTTTTTAACCCAAAGAATGTCAGAGGTTAAGCATTCAGGGCTGGGATCCCACTGTGTCTGTGGAGTATTTAAGGGAAGAAAGGTCAAGATTCACTTGGTATGGGACAGTAGCATTGCAAAGGATGACAATGTCATCTCTTTCCTACTTGGGAGGTTGGTGGGGCAGCAAAGGAGTCCCTTGTCTCCGTAAGACTGGAGGCTTTGCTCCCCCTGCCCCTCCCTGAGAGGGCAGGTCTGGGAGGTAGGTCTTAGAATGATAGGAGGTGACAGTCTTGAAATAGGGCTTCCGTAGCCCTTAGAAAAATATCAATGAAGTACATACTCTCTGTACTTAATCTTTACATCAGGAAGGATTGATTTGCCACTTGAATACCTAAGTGAAATTTTACTGTTTTTCTTATATGAAGTTACATTATTGAAGTGGTTTATTTTTTCCCCCTTTTTTTGGTGGGGAGTATCTTTACAGATGGGTTTGTTTTTTTTTTTAAATAAGCTTACTTCCTAATCCAAAAATAAATTATGATTCATCCCTTGGCTTTACCTGAGTGAGACTTCATTTTCTGTGTGGAATTCTCAGTGGCCAGGCCATCACCAACAACATTCAGATCCTTGAAACAGACAGAGGGCTGCACACATGTTGCCTTTCCCAGGCCAGGCTATTGCCCAGACATCTCAGAAGTGCTGTAGCTTGTAGGCACTACAGACATGATCTCAGGTCATGAACACAGCAACATTCCTTGACTCACAAGAAGCTCAAACTTAGGGCCTCCTTGGCTTCAGATTCTAAAACCCAGTCCACCAGCCCCTGATTAGAATGTAAGAGTGATTGCAAAGGGAAATAACAGTACTTTCTGTTAAAATGTATAAACCTTGGAATGCAAAATTTTTTTTTTGCATTTACTGTTTTATCTACCTGGGAATGCTGGTGATGTAGTCTGTAGGGAGTTACTTGGGTAAGCACCTTGGGTGGTCTGAGTCCACAGTGGCTCTGAGGGAGAAAGATGGATGACAAATCTCTGTAGTTTACAGCCTCTCAAAAACCCAGTGGAGGGTCAGCTATGAGTTGGTTCCAACTTGACGGAAATGAGAGAGTCGTAATCTACTTTGTGTTCATCTCACTGTTCATTCATCCTGTTGTTTTATGCCATCGAGTCAGAACTGACCCATAGCTGACCCTCTGGTGCATTTTCAGAAGCAGTAAATCATGTGGGAGAAGATTGGTCGTCCTTCTCATGAGGAGTACCTGGTGGATTTGAACCAAGTGTGTTGAGTATTGCAGAGCAGCTTCTTAGCACTAATATCTTAAAATGTATCTCTCTTTTAGCTAGGTCAAGGTGTTTTGGTCCAGGTTTCCCCCTCCCTGGTAAAACGGCAGAAGACTCATTTCCATGACTTACCGTGTGGGGCGTCTGTGATTCTGGGTAACAATGGCTTCATTTGGATCTACCCAACGCCTGAGCACAAAGAGGAGGAAGCAGGAGGCTTTGTTCCTAATTTGGAGGTGAATAAACCCTGCTGCTGATGTTGGTGGGGTGGAATGGCACTTGATCTTTGGGATGTCTGGGTGTGTGTAACTAACTGTTAACTGCTATATCCTGAGTGAGTTTGAATTTCCACTGAGGCATGTCCATGAATGTTTGTATTTCCTTCTTTTTAGGGTGAGTTCAAATTGGGGAATGTTGACAGAGGTGGCCAAAGTTACATGGCAGTAGCTGAAGAGTCATGGAAAAAAATTTTTTTTAAATCTTTTAGAGTTGCTGATTTAGTTTGGTTTGGAATCCAAGAGTGATAGTAAATTGCAGATGATTTCTATTCTGTGATTTAATGTGACCACTCACTTTTTTTAGTCCTGTTTTTATCTCTATCACTTCCTCATACTCTGCATTCACTTTGTAGCCTGTATCCCTTGCCGATCGAGAGGTCATATCTCGGCTTCGGAACTGCATTGTCTCAATGGTGACTCAGAGGATGATGCTGTATGACACCAGTATCCTGTACTGCTATGAAGTGTCCCTTCCACATCAGGTACTGCTATTCTCCTCTTTGCTGATCTGTGAGCAGGCACTGGGTCTTCATCTGTCAGCTCCAGTGTTTTTACAGTGGCAGCAACCAAGCTCTCCTTCCAAATATCTTTACCATGTTCATTTTTCCCTAGATACTTAGAAGATCCTAGGGCCTAGTAGATCCTAATGCCTAGTACTCTGATGGTGAAGTGGCTTGGCTGGTAACTAGACGGTCAGTGGTTCACACTCAGCAGCTGTTCTGAGGGATAAAAGAGCTGGTGAACCGCTTTTGTGAAGACGACAGTTTAAGAAACTGTATGAGGCAGTTCTGTTTTGTCCTCTTGGGATGGACTTGATGTCACGCAAGCAGCAGCAGCAGCACTGTCCGTCCAAGGACTTAGGAGATGAATCTGCCAGATGGGATTAGTTTATGATAGCAACTCCTTGGACTTCATCTTGCCCATCCCAAATTTAATGAATGCTAGAATATTATCTTTTTTCCTGTCAGCTTTATCTGCTGAATCTTGCTGATTTATTAAAGTGATTCTGGCGGATTATATCTTGGAACACTTGTCCTCTAACAAATAAGTACAGAAGGTTTATATTAACTATGTTTGGTTTCTGTGCTTGGATTCACTTGGTGATCTGCTTATGGTTGGTTTCTTTTCTAGACAAATACCTTTTTCTTTTCTTTTTCAGATCAAAGACATCTTAAAGCCAGAGATAATGGAAGAAATTGTGATGGAAACCCGCCAGAGACTATTAGACCAGGAAGGGTAAGGAGAGACAGCTGAAGGACAGCACTGTATACCTGGCTGGAGCTATTCTTGAAGATGAAGAATCAGATTTACGGTCCCCACGTGGGGCTTAGGGGAGGACTGAGACGCTCATCACTTGACCAGCATCGACAGCTGTGAGGCTTCTGTCAGCCCCACATAACTTTTTTTTCTCCAAGACGAAAGTCTGAGTGGAAAGTGAACAGTACCTCTGGTAGGCGGGGCTCCAGAACTAGGGCATAATTCAGGTCTTTCCAAGGGTGCAGTGAGTGGTCTAGTCAGATGAACTTCCTTCCTGGAGTAAGATGGGGATCTTCCACTCACGGTCATTCAGAACACACTTTGTGAACACACATTGTGAAACTGCCCCTATAAAAAACATCCCTGATCCCCCAGTTGTCTTTGTCTTTTATAATCATCTCTAAAATGTAAGTACAACATTCCAGTTGTGCTTGAAAAACAAGTTAATCTGGCAGGCGTATGGATGAATAAAGCTAACCAGCATTTCTTTCTCACTGGCTGTTCTTCTGGCGATAGCTACAGACATACCCACCATAGGGTTACTTTAGCTCTGTCCTGCCTTGGTAAGAAGCTGATTCATTATCAGCTGAGAGAATGACTGTTCTGGGCCCATCTGCTTTTGGGTGCTCTGATACACATGAATACAAAGTAAGAGAAATGGAGATGGAAAAGAAATGCTGTTCTGTAACTGAAGTAGTAATACATTAACTTCTGAATTCATGATTAAAAGAGAAAAACAAGGTGCTTACTGTTGTCGTTAAAGAATGTTAAGGTTCCTTTGCATCATTTTCTGATGACTTTAAAAATAATGAGTTAGGTTATTGGAGAACATTTTTTTAAAACTATTATTTTTAAATGCTGTTTGTTTTAAATATGTAGTTAAGTGCCACTGGGTCATAGATGACTCATAGCAACCCTATGAACAGAAGACCTGAACACTTATATAACTTTCACCGTTTCTCTAAGTTCATAGAGTTTCTAGAGACAAGCTTTTTCAGAAGTGGATACCACTCTTGCTTCCAAGCTTGTTTTAATGGGGGAGCTCCACATGCTGTCCACCATAGGTTAACCATTAATCACATTTGGCACCTCAGTGTCACAGTGTTCAGCATCACAGCAACCGTGAGCTACCAGTGCTATACAGCTTAGAAGAATGTTTGACCAAAATCAGTTAAAACCAGCCCTGAGGGCCGCAGATTAAAATCATGCACCTTTGGCTTGATAGCATAACTTTTCTATCCACTAGGCCAGCAGAGCTCTCGGACTCAACAGCAATTCTGCGAACAACAGATCTAACCTTTGCCCTATCCTACGCCATTCCCACAATCCAATCCAAGACATGCTCGAGCTCATTGCAAGTCACTGTATCAATTCATCGTGTTAAGGATCTTTTTTCCTCTGACCTTCCACTTTATATTACAAAAGGAGTGTTAACACCATTGATTTCTGTTCTGATGTTTTGTGTCATAACTGCAGTTCAGCAAAATACAAGGAAATGTTGCATACCATTGAGTTGCTTGCGACTCATAGTGACCCTGTGTACAATATGCCTGAAACCTGCTCTATCCTGAGCAAACCTTACTGTCTCTGATACACGTACCCCCACTATCCTACTTACTGAGTCAGTTCATCAAGGGTCTTCCTCTCTTGTGCTGTCCCTCCACCCTCCTTGCAGCTTGCCTGAGGTATGTCTGACAGAGCTTCAGAATCCTTGCCTCCAAGGCGCAGCCTGGTTTATCCCTCTCCAAGACAAACCTGTTTGTTCTCCTACCAGTCCATGGTATATTCCGTATTCTTTTCCAGCACCACAGCTCAAAGGCATCAATTCTCTATTATCCCTAGTCATATCCAGCTTTCTGATGCATAGCAAGTAATTGAGAAGACCATGGTCTGGATTAGGCATATCTTACTCTCCAGATTGACGACATTGCTCTTTAGTACTCTGGAGAGGTCCCTGACAGCCAACTTGCCCCATGCAGTTTCTCTTTATATTTTCTTGCTGCTGGTACTAAGAGTGTTGAATGTGGAGCCAAACACACTGAAGCTGTTAATAATCGAGGAAAATTTAGCAGATGAAAATTCCTTCTGACAGTTTCTGACTAGTTGAGTTGGTTACCTAATAAAATTTAACCATATGAATGGTAGAAACTTTGAAACATTGAACTTGACAGGTCTGATGTACACATTGGCACTATTCGCTCATTAGGTTTCTGTAGTTTATGCTTTAACTTTAAATTCACTCATTTGTCATAGTATTGCCAGGCTATGTTGCTCATTCATTGCTGAATGAATGGTGATTGCGTACTAAGTAGAAATACTAGAAAGGCTCCAAAGCACGTTTTGGTGATTGTGTTTTCCATTGCCCACTAGAGGGCACCCTTGTCAAGTATTCTGTTAATGTGCCTTCAAGTTGCCTGCAACTCACAGCAACCTTATGTACAATAGCATTGAACTCTGTACTATCCTGAGCCAGTCTCATTGAGTCCAACAGACCTCCCCTCATTACCTACCCCCATTACCTTTATTACAATAGGTATAGCACTGGTATTGAATTCCTGGAGCAACCTTGTGGTTAAAAAATGTGCTTTAAAAAATCAGAACAAAATTAATCAAAAGGTAAGCATAAAGAGATTTAACCAATATTTGATAACTTTTATCCTGCTTTAGATCAAATTTTCTTTTTTTAGATCCAATTTTCAATCTTTAAAAATAAAAATATGGTTCATTGGTGTCAAACAGCAGGTGAAAAAAATACAGTGCATCTCTAGAGGAAAAAAAAATTCTACAGCTGGAAAAATAGAGATTAGGGATAAGCCTTGGGGAGTAGAATGTATCATCACCAGCAGAGACTTGAGTCTTTTACTCTGAAAATCAAATGAGAACCTCATTATAGCCTTGTTAAGTAAGCAGACATGACCCTCAGTCATAGGTGGTGAAACAGATTGAGAGAAAGTGACTTCAGATTCACCGCAGTGGAATCTGTTCTGACTTACAACCTCCATTGGGTGTCTGAAGCTGTACATTGTAATGGAGAAGACAGCCCATCTTTTCCCCTCAGATCTGAAAATTACTTAGTCAAGTGCATTACCAGTTGTGAATCAGAACTAGATTTAAGGTCTAGAGAAGTATCATAAAGCCCTTCTTTAGAGGATAAGTGATTAGATTACTCAGTTTGAAACTAAACAAGAATGAACACATATTAAGATATGGAGGGATAATCAGAATAATGAGATAAAGAGGACCAGGCTTTGAAGAATGACTACACTTGCTATATTAGACATCAATCAGGTAGTGCTGTGATGGTAAACAAAGCTAAACCGATTAAAATCTGGATTTGTACATTATAAATTCTCATATTTGGCTAAGTGGTTAATGCAACATGGAGGAGCTGACATCACTACATGTATAAATGGGCTCTGGTTTCCCTCAGCAACGGCGGGAAAATGCATTATTTAGTAATGTATCTAGTACTATATCAACAATTATTTGATATTGAATGGTGATGTGGGAAAACATCTGTATAATGGGGTATAATATTACACGACTCATTGGACTGTAATGAGGATTGAGTGAGATAATTAAGCTGATGAAAAGTGCTTAGTAGCATTGCCAGGTGTACAGAGGCAGTGTGATTAGTAGATCTTAGTACATCCCAACACGCAGTTCTTTGGGGAGATAAGGTAAGGAACTTGGGTACATGGTGCTTCTCAGTTGTAGAAGATGTATTTGGTCTGTGTGGGTCACTGACTAGTCTGCAATCCTGCGAAAACCCCTCATGTGGGCATTTTTTTAGTTGACAGAGGATGGATGTTTTTAGGTGAATATGCATTCATTTCTAAAACATTCTAGTTCAAACATCTATCATTGTATGAAGCTAAGGTGTTTGTTGAATGAATAACTCTCATAACTAGAAATCAAACAGTTGGATCTCAGCAACATACTGGATGCTTTCCAATCTATTTTCTGCTTGGTAGTCTGTCGTTCTAGAGTACTGCTATGATGCTGAAAGTTAAGCTACTGGCTTGTCAAAAACCACCAGGGTCACCCAGGGTGAACAGGTTTGAATGGAGCTTCCAGATTAGGACTGAGAGGAAAGACCTAGTGGTTGACTTCTTGAAAAAAGGAAAAAAAAAGACCAGTGAAAAAGCAAAACACTGATTTAATACCAAGAGATAAGCCCCTGAGACTGGAAATATGAGAAGAGATGCATCATTAGAGTTGACATTTATGAAGATCAATTAATCAAAACTTAGAATGTACAATGCATGAGTCTAGAAAAACTGGAAGTTGTAAAAAATTAAATGCAACACTTAAAATTTCTAGAAATTAATGAGCTGAATTGAATTGGTGTTGGTCATTCTGAATCAGATAATTATATTACCTAATGATGCCTTCATTATAAAGAACATTACAAGATCTATTCTTAGGTACAACCTGTGAGTGATAGGATAATATCCATATTGCTTACAAGGTAGACCAGTTGATAGGCTTGGTGACCTGGTGGGTAAAGAGTTGCACTGTAAACCCAAATGCAGGTGGAATTCAGGAGCAACTCCTCAGTAGAAAGATGGGCACTTTTTCTGAGAGATTACAGCTTCTGAAAAACCCCTAGAGGGTAAGATATGAGTTAGTTCCTATGGCAATGAGTGAGTCATTCAAATTCATGCATGAATCCTTAGTGCCAAAGATTAAGTTATAATTTTTACCAATTGCTGCGCTCTGAAATGTATCAAGTATGTTGTAAAAATGCATTGATAGTGTATTTGATGATAGAGTTCTAAGAATTGAAAACAAAAGTATTGGTAGTTGCAAGCCTTGGTCTTGGGAACAGAAACAACACAAGAGCTCATGATAGAATTTTCCAAGATCAATGACTTACTTATTGCAAATAATTTTTCAACAATATAAACAGTGACTGTACATGTGGAACTTGCTGGATAAAGTGGACAAGAACCAAACCAACTACATCGGTATTAAGTGCTGAAAGTGAAGCTCAAGATGAATCCCAGGGCTGACTGCAGAATGGATCATCAATTGCTCTATGCAAGTGCAAGTTGAAAATGAGGAAAAGTAAAACAAGTCCATGAGAGCCACAACACAACTTACAGTATGTTCCACTCGAATTTAGACACTATTTCAAAAATAGATTTGACGCATTGAACACTAATGATTGAAGACTACATGAGTTGTGGGATAATATCAAGGACATTATATAGGAAGAAAGCAAAAGGTCACTAAAAAGAAAGAAAAGGTGAAAATCAGTATCAGAACAGACTCTGAAACTTGCTCTTGAATGTACAGAGCTAAAAGGAAGACATGAGGTAAAGCCAAACAAGAATTCAAAGGGTGGCTCATAAAGACACAAGTATTAAAATGAAGTGTGCAAAGATCTGGAGTCAGAAAACCAAAAGGGAAGAATATATTTGTTATTTTTCAAGCTGAGAGAATAGAAGGGGGGCTGGAATCAAGCCTTGGCTTGCTTATTAAAGGATTTTGTGGGCCAAATGTTGAGATAGGCAGGAAACATTAAAAGAAGATGGAAGAAATGCAGAGTCAGTCATTGTGCCAAAACCAACTGGTCATTCATTTCAGGAGATGGCACATACTCAAGAACTGATGGTAATAAAAGCAAAGATCCAGGCTGTGCGGATAGCACTGTTGAAAAACTACAGGGATGTTTAACAAATAGAGAATGCTGGAAGAGCTCACCATGATGATCATGGGAAGACTCATTAAGAACCGTCAATAGGCAAATATACAGCCTTGCTTCCGAGAGTAAGGAGGACTTAACTACTTACTGAAGATCAAAGACTACTGCAAGAAAACAAAAATCCTCAAAAATGGACCAAGTTGAAACAGAATGACAAATGGAGATTGCATTGAAGTTGTCAAAGATTTCTTTTTACTTGCTTTCACAATCAACACCTATGGGAGCAGTAGTCAAGAAATCAATCCCATGGGCAAATCCGCAAAAGATCTCTTTTAAAAAGTGTCAAAAAGCATAGATAACCCTTTGAGTTTTAAGGGGCGTCAGACCCACGTCAGGATTTTTCAATTGCCTCATGCTAATGTTAGACGGATCTTGGCTGAAAGCAGGGAACACCAGAGGAATGTATATCTGTGTTTCATTGGCTATGTAAAGGCGTTTGACTGTGTGGATCATAACAAACTGTGGCTGACTCTGAGAAGAATGGGAATCCCAGAACACTTGATCATGCTAATGAGAAACCTATACTTGGACCAAGAAGGCAGTCGTTGGAACAGAGCAAGGAAACACTGCATGGTTCAAAATTGGGAAGGGCATATGCCAGGATCCCTTTCTCCATACCTTTTCAACATATATGCAGAACAGATTATCCGGGAGGCTGGGCTCTATGAGGAGGAATGTGGGGTCAAGATTGATGGAAGATCTATCAACAATCTGTGATATGCAGATGATACAACCCTGCTTGCTGAAAGTAGGACCTGAAGTGCTTGCTGCAGAGGATCAAGGACTGTAGCCTCCAATATGGATTGAGGCTCAGTGTCAAGAAGACAAAGATTCTCACCACTGGGCCAATTGGCAGCATCAGGATGGATGGTGAAGAGATTGAGATTGTTCACAGCTTCAGTTTGCTTGGCTCTACAGTCAACACTCTCGGCACCAGTAGCCAGGAAATTAGAAGACGTATTGTGATGGGAAAGTCTGCTGTTAGGGACCTCTCCAAAGTACTGAATGAAGATCAGTGGTGTCTCTCTGGAGACTAAGTTGCATCTGATACAGGCCATGGTCTTTGCAATCACTGGTTATGCATCAGAGAGTTGGACAATGACTAAGGAGGATAGGAGGAGAATTGATGCCTTTGAGCTGTGGTGCTGGAGAAGAGTATTGAGAATACCATGGACTGCCAAGAAAACAAACAGATTCATCCTGGAAAGGGTCAAACCGGGTGGCTTCTTGGAGGCAAGGATTCTGAGGCTCCATCTTACATACTTTGGACATGTAAGGAGGGACTGGTCCTTGGAGAGGGACATCATGCTTGGTAGGTGGAGGGACAGCGCAGGAGGGGAAGGCCCTCTATGAGGTGGATTGATTCAGTGACTGGGGTAATTGGAATGGGTGTATTGGAGATGGTGCGACTGGCACAGGACAGAGCAGAGTTTAGGGCTGTTGTACATAGGGTCGCTATGAGTCGCAAGCGACTGGATGGCACATAACAACAACAACAACAACATGTGCTTGCAAAAGCTGGAGAATTAAAACCCAAAGAGGATGACTTTGAATGATGACAGTGTCAAAGAATACATATATATATAGGAATTCTAGGGAGCTCTGGTGGCCTAGTGGCAAAAAGCTGCGCTGCAATCCCCAAAACACGGGCGCCTTTCGAGGCCACCCTAGCTGCACTGTGGGGAGAAGGATGGAAAATCTACTCCCATGCGATTAACTGCCTCTGAAAACCCAACGGAGGGTCGCCTATGAGTCGGTTCCGACTCTAGGGTACATAACAACAACAAATGGCATCATAGTTTGTAGCTGCTGCACTGTTAATTTAACTGAGAGGTTTCGGATCAAAGCCAAAAACCACACCAAGGTAGAAACATTTCTCAAAGTTTATTGTGCGCTGGGCTCCTCAGCAAGGGGAGTACACTGGGGGCTGGGCTTAGGGGGGGATTAAATGGGGTTTTAGCAAGTGTGTTTTAGAGGTTTGTGAGATGAGTTGACGTTACAGTCGATCATTGGTGCATAAAGTTTCTGGTTTTGGAAAAGGCCCTAGTATGGGAATTTCTGAATTCTGGTTTCAGAAAATGTCCTGACATAGGGATTTCTGAGTTAGCTTCAGCCTCCATTTTTATTTTTAGCCTAACATGAACCAAAGTATGTTAAATATATTATGGATTCAAGAGTGACAACTCTCTCTTGGAAGAAGTATAGCTAGAACGCTCCTCAGAATCACGTATGCTGAGACTTTGTCCCTTGTACTATGGACACATTATCAGGTAGAACCAGTTCCTGGAGAGGAAGACCCTTAAGGAGATGGATTGACAGAGTGACCACAACAGGCTGAAACAGTAAGCGTTGTGAAGCTGGGGCAGGACTTCTGTTGTTCTCTGTGAGTTGCTACTCCACAGCACCTAACAATAACACTATTTATTCTTCCTGTGTAAAAGGAGATTTGAGGGGAAGGGTTTTCTAGGAATGCGCCAAATGTTCTCTCCTTTAAGGAAGCGTAGGGAAGCATCATTTCAACTCCAGTTGGGGAGAATCCAATCCGCATTTTTCCATTTACTTTGGCTGTATGCCGGTTTTACTACTCGCGAAGGGGGGACATTGGCCAGTCCTAAGCGAGGCCCGCTAGTAACCCTGTTCGCAGGGCGGGACTGGAGCTCAGGAGTCAAGAGCAAAGGGCAAAAAGTGTAGGTTCCTAGCAGACGCCAGGAGGAGCCGCAGAACCACAACTCCCAGCCTACCTTGCGAGATGCACCGAAGACGGTTGGCTGAGAGGGTTAGACCCATTGCTCGTTCTGACCAATAGAAAAGAGAAGAGAGGTCTGACCCGAATTCTTGACCACCAATGGTAGTACAGTGGAGGTGGCGTCTTCCTTACTGCTTATCTTGTGCTCAGGAAAACACACTTTTAAGCAGTCTAGTCGGTCCAGGTCTTCCGGTCAGTGAGGTCCGAATCGGAAAGGGCGACGGCGTTCCCCTGAAAGCGGTGCCAGGGGCACACGGGTTTCCGTGAGGCGCGCGCCGGACGTCCTAGGGGGCGGGGCCAGGGGCGGGACCTGGCCTCGTTGTGGAGCGGCTCGTAATCCATCATGGCGGCCACGGGGGTCGGTGCGTTTGCCTGAGCGGCGCTGGAGCCGGAGCCGGTTCCTGGGTTCTGCTGCTGAGGAGTCCCTCCGTTGTCCATAGCCCCTTCCGGCGGAGGGAGGCTGGGTCCTGCGGCGGAGCCCGGGGGATGTGACTGCCTGGCAGCGGCGGTGGTGCCTCCGTCCGTGGCCGGAGGAGGGGGTGCCTTTGGCTGATCCCCCTAGGCTCTGGGCAGCTGAGGCGGCAGGGCCTCCTCCCCCCTGCACACGCCTCCTGACTTCGGGGCCGCGAGGGTTCTTCGTCCCATCAGCCCTCTGCAGGATTTCGGGATAGTGGGGGTGGTCTCTGCTCTCCCCAGACCTGGGACACCCTGTTTCCTGAGGCGTGGAGGAGCATCACCCCGAGTAAGCCGTCTGTGCCCCGCCCCAGCAGCCTCCTTACTCCTGAGGCACCCCTTTCTCCCACTCTGGTTTCAGATTTGGCCGCGGAGCCCTTCCATTCACATCGCTACCCTGCTGTCAAGTGGTCTTCCCGCCTCCCCCCCACTCCCAGGTAGCTCTCGTGAGCCCCTAATGCCCTGACTTCCAATGTCACCGACGGCCCCCTTAGTCTCCACCCATCCAGAAACTTTAATGCAAAGGAAAAGCCTGGACTGGTTTCACAGGCCTTTTAAAAAGCGGACTTAAAAGTTGCTGGCAATGCATTTCTTCTCGACAGAGTGGAGGGCAGGCTCTCGCTGAGATCTGGGTGGCCCGTGGCCTTTTCCGGAGAGAAGGGTAGAGGAGCTGGAGCAGCGGCTGGTTCAGCAGGAAATTTGTTGGAAGATGAAGAAACTAAGATAGGGGGTGGGTGACTTCCACAGGAAAAGTTCAGGACGAGCATCTAAAGAAGATCAACATTTCCTTTACATGTGGGAGTCCAGATGACCTTAGTATTCTTGACCTTTTACAGCATGCCCTGTGAACATTTTTGCTTAAGTTTCTCCTCGTGAAAAGACACCGATTTTAAGCCAGTAAAAGACACTTAGAAATCAAACTTTTGGGTAACATTTCAGTTGCACCATTACAAGCTGATTTCCTGCGAGAATACTGGGAACTCCTGTTGACGTGAGTCTCTGACCTACAGACTGTGTGCCTCTTGTTTCAGAAGATGTCTTTTTTGTGACTGACCTCAATTCCTGACTTGTGGAGATGCAGTGAATGTGAAATCCCACATATATGCTATTTCCCTCTTATGCTTAACTGACTATTCTGGAAGATCTTGAACCCTTTTTCAGGAAAGGGGTGGCCTATCATTACTTTATGGGGCAGCAGCCTGGAAAAGTTCTTGGGGACCAACGAAGGCCAAGTTTGCCTGCCCTGCACTTTATCAAAGGAGCAGGGAAGAAGGAATCATCGCGACATGGGGGCCCACACTGCAATGTATTTGTGGAGCATGGTGAGTGCTTGCTTTTCCTTTTAGTCCATCCAGGACGGTGGAGCCATGTTTGAACCAGTTCATTCCAGTACTTCTTAAAGCTTCAGTTCCAGAGGCCCAGTTTCTGGTTGTATTTTCTTTGTCTGAAAAAAGTTACTTTGTGACCCGTGCCTTTATTAAAAATCTTCTGTCTTGCCTAGTTGAGCTTCTTTCTCGCTGTTGACCTTGGACAAGTCATTTCATGGTTCCAGGGAATCAAATTTCCGGAGGGGGTTGGATTTAGGTGGTTTCCTAGTTTTATGGGTCTGCTCTAATCTAGGGCGTGGACTCTTCCCTGGAGAGGCATACTTGTTTCTGGAGTGTGTGTATGCCTGTGTGTTATTTATCTACATAGAACTTTGCTATTCTCAAAGTACCTTGTGCTCTCCATAAGATTTAGAGCCACAGATCCTGCTTGACCCTAACGCCCTTGACCTTTCCTATTATAAATTTTATCTCCTTTTAGTGAGTTGTAACTGACTCTTACTAACCTTCCATTGAATTTCTGAGTCCTTAAATCACACTCGAGGAGATTGTCCATCTTTCTCCTCAGAGCTGCAAGTGGAATTGAACTTCTGGAGAGGTGAGACCTTTGGCTAATCAGTGCAGCGCCCTATAGACCATGCTACCATGGAAAATACTTGAAAATAATCTTGAAAATACTCTTTTTGGAGCCTTGTTGGGGGATGAATTGAGTGGAGAAGCTCTGTTCCTTATGAATTGAGGGTGCAGAGCCAGGTGGTTTACCATACACCAGGAATAACCCTTTTTTCCACTGATTGAACTTGCATCCTTTTCACTGTTTAGAAGAACACTTTGGACCAAAAAGGTTGTGTTCATCATTTTGATGAACATGATTGGTATTTGAATGTTGAATGTATACTATTTGCATCCATTAATTGTGTGCACTTATTTTAAACTCTGTAACAGATGCCAACCAAAAACAAATTAATGAGAAGTCTGTGCACTTTTAACTGCTTGCTGTTTTCAAAGTGTGTATTTTATGTTAAAATATCAGTTGAACCCACCTATCCTATTAGCAAATATGTTTGCAAGTATTTTTTTTAAATATTTTTTTTATTGGGAAAAACATATTGGGGGTACAAGGAGGTGAGGGTTGGGGGCAGAAGGGTGAGGATGGTCCAGGATGCAGTTGCAGAGCTG